TTGACAATGCAGCCCAGAATAAAGTCAAGTCTTTTTGGGTGACTCATTTGAACTGTAAAACTCAAGTGCATTAATTGGTATACCATAATCTGTCTTAAATCATTCCATTGATTGATTCGTTTGACCAATATCCATTTCAACTATCTGTTTGCCTTGATATCTTTCTGTTTATCCTGGTTGTCCCGAAAGGGAACAGAAACACAATTTTGGGCACTTGAGATTGACTACCTTCCAACTGACTATTGAGCAAGAGAGGATTCAAAGGGGGAACAACTAATCCTCTCGATCAGAGCCAACCTGTGATTTGTTTTTGCTCAAAGGAAAAACATCAAACTTTCATCAAACGAGGAAATTCCGTTGTGTACTAAGGTTTGATGAAAATGGATTAAAACTCTTCTGAGGGCAGGGCGTGACAGGCTACACTAAACACAAGCCCCCTGCTGGTCGCTGGGGACCTCTGAAGCGGGCACATCGAGTGACAGACGTTGTTGCCCTTGGCTTCAGCAAACAGCAAAAGCCCTTTCCCGGGTTTCCTCACAACTTTGGCGCCGTTGTCGGGGAGGGGACTGCACCCCCACGGCCTCAGCCTTCCCCAATCAAATGAGGGTGCGCTGACTAATCAGCTAGTGACTAATTAGCTTTGAAAAAACAGTTGATTAATTGATTTTTGTTTATTTTTGTTTATTTTTGTAATTCATTTTTTTCCAATATCTTCTGATACGGGTGTTTTTGAGCGAACCACCCCCGAAACAAAGTTGATCCTCTCGTCGAGACAAAAATTTTGAGACCCTCTGTAGCGAAAACTAACAGTTAGATAATTATATATATATATATATATATATATTTTAAAATATAATAAAATTTTATTTTTTTGCTTTAATTAAATTATCGAAAACTGGGGCAAAATTTAGGACTGCTCACCTAAGCAAAGTTGTTCGAATTTTTTTTCCCGACATTTTGAAACTTAGTTCGGGAAAAATGGACAACGCATGCAAGCGGTACGGGGTCCAGCAGTGCCCATTAATATCAATTAAATGGACAGATTGTGAATTTTTCTGTTCATTCATTTAAATACTAGGCTACCAGGGTGGCTCGGGGTCACTTGCCCGACCGGGCAAAAAAACTAAAAATCAAAAAATTGTTTTTAAATTTTATTTCGTATTCTAAATTTGGTGAAGAATTTTGATGTCACCCTAAGACAAAAGTTGTTCAGTTTCTTTTTCTGCATAACGTAGTTTTTTTTTTTTTTTTTTTTTT